CTGTGGACCACTGGTGGTCCGTGAGGTCCGAAAGGTTGGTGACTGCTGGTATAGAGTATCATGTAAGTCCTACAGATTAGAAAGAGAAGTCTGAGGTAGGAGAGAGTGTGTTGTGTGTGGACATGCATGTTTGTGAAGATACAAACTAGTGCTTATTTAGCTATTTATGATTCAAATTACTAACTAACCAACCCATTTACCAACTTACCTGCAGGTATTTATTGAATGTCTACTGAGTATATGCCACTCTTTATCTTAGCAGCAGAGTCAAATATAAATGTGTATTAACATATGGTTCTTTCCATCTTGGTGTTGGCTAGTTGGGAGAAACAAGATGTACATGCACATTAAACAGAGAATTAACAGGGCAAGGAAGTATATGATTGTTCTAAGTGCCAACGTGACTAGTACAGGCCAAGGCGTATAAAGAGTTCAGGGAACAGGGAGAGAAACGGAAGAGCTGGGAAGATGAGTGAGGGCTCCACTGAGGAGATGGGCTTGATCTCTGCTTGCAGGGATGACTGGGATTGTAGAAGATGACAGTGACAGGGAAGGACATCCTGGATGGATGGGGATGCCATGCTGTGGCAGTAAACTGAGTATAAGCCTTTGTGTTTGGGGAGAAACAATGAGGGATGCTGGCTGGATTAGAAGGGTGTTGAGTAGTGAAACTTGCATAGGTTGAATGGGACAGATGTTCTTATAGATTCTGACTATGAGGGATTTGTAGACCTGACCGAAAGTTATGTGTGTTCAAATTTTTATATTTTTTCTTCATTGCACTCGCCTTTGCCACACATGTTTCTGAGAGAAGTAAGCAATTGTTGGTGAAAATCTCCTTAACATGGGCTTAGAATTAATATTTGCAGTAGTTGCTATATAAATAGATGTGTGTGTAAATATAATGTTGAAAAGGCACCTGAGAAAACGTAATTAATACAATGCATTTTTTCCTAGGCCGGACCTGATAGACATGAATACTGTTGCTGTTCAAAGCAACCTTGCAAATTTAGAGCACGCTTTTTATGTAGCAGAAAAAATTGGCGTTAACAGACTCCTGGATCCTGAAGGTGAGCTGTTGCCTTGACTAGATGTGGCCTGAAAGTTTGATCAACAGTAATCTGTCAACCTCTTGAAATAATTTGTGTTGCTGCTTTTAGACGTTGATGTTTCCTCTCCTGATGAAAAATCCGTAATAACGTATGTGTCATCTCTCTATGATGCGTTTCCCAAAGTCCCTGAAGGTGGTGAAGGCATCAGTGCAAATGTGAGTATTGATTCTTTTTCATTCTAGAAGCTTCTGATTCAGCAATGTCTACTTAACCGAATTCTTTGATAGTGCTTTTTATCTTAAATATAAAATATTTTTAAAAGAAGTTGATTTTAATATGCTATTTACCAAACTGATATTGCATGCACTTGGATGGTATCATTCCATTATTAAAATTAAAATATAACAAGAAAACATTTGTTATATTTGATACTTTTGTTCAGTATCAAAAGTTAAATCAGAGTTAATTTTTTTTTTTGATAAATAGTAGCTACAAACCACCGCATTTTGGAGATACTCATTTTTTAACTTGCTATTTTACAGCTGCTCTATTTCATGTATTTGTATAGAATATCTCATGTTTGAATTCACTTGCAGTGACGTTTATTACCTCATATGATTCCATGAGAGAAGTTGGCTCGGTATTGCTTCTCTGATTTAACAGTGAGACCCAGAGATTTATTTTGCCAAATTGACAGAGCTCCTTTGTAAGCAGGGCAAGGTCTCTGAAATGTGGCTTTGGATCTTTTATTAGTCCACAATTTGCCACGGGTTTGTGCAATTCCGTTCAGTTGTGCATTTTTTAGTGGTCATGCTAACAAGTGCTTATGCATTTCTGGAAGAGACAGGAAACCCTACACGCATTCTGCACTTGGGGGTGAGCACCCCTCACCCTGGGCCTTTCTCCCTCCCCCTTGCAGACACCATTAAAAAAAATTTTACTTTGCAGATTTAGGAGCTCATCTTGGTGAGCTCTCTTTCCTGATATTTTGCTTCACCTTTGTATGCTGCTGCTTTTAGACTTATTTTCCCTTCTCTTCCTCTTGTTCTTCCTCTCAGAAGCTTTATCTATTCTTTTGATTCCTAAGTAACTTGCTTCCATGTTTATCCTCTCCTCTGACTTAACGCAGTTCTCCAAGGACTCAGCGTTGACTGTTGCTTGAGAATGTTTCTTGTGGCTACTCTATTCTCACTACCTCCACCCCATTCATGACTCTTAGAACCAGGATGATAGCTTTCCTATGGTTTTCCATCTCCCCTTTTTCTCCCCCCATCAACTCTGCACAGTCACCAAATTAGCTTGAAAACGTTCAGTGGCTACATATGACTTGCACGATTAACTCCATTCTAGATATTCTGACATTCAAAATTCTGCATATATAAATTTAGCTTTTCTTCATTTTTAGCTCTGACATCTCAACACAAACTGTTTGCTGGTAGCCAGGGCATTCCTATTTCAGAATCCTGATTCACTTGGGACTCTGTCTTTTATGTACCCCTCTCTCTTCCTCCTTACCCGCCCCCACCCCGACACTCCCCCCAACAATTACTGGAAGTTTGAGAACTGCTCAGGGATTGAGAACCTCTTCCCAAGGAGCTTTTAGTGACCACTTTAGACACACTGATGCTTACCTGATACTTATCTTAACTCCTAGCATATACTACCAGTTATTTCAACACTTAATTGAATACAGCTTTTCATTTTGCTCAGCTGTTCATGTTATGAATCTCTCTTGTCTCCCCATCTAGACAGTAACACTTTGATAATAGGTATTATGTCTTCAAGCAATATATTTTTATTACGACCTTAGCACAATGCTTTGAACATAATGAGAATTTATCAAATATTTAATTGAATATAGCAGTTGACAACCTTCCAGTTTTCTCCATTTAAAAAAGTTTGCAAAATGAGTACTTGAGTAATCTCATCATAGATATTTCCTGTAGTTTTCATTCGTGACTGGTTTCTTATATAATTTATAGCTCTTTTGAGTTTCATACATAAAGGGGACTTAGATCTAAAAAGGTTGACAGAGTGGCAACCAACTTGGCTTATGCAAGCTGTCATTTCCCCTTCTTGAGCCCCTGGCAAGTTGATAGTGGAAGTCTTTTCTGCTGTGCTTGGGCGCTGCCTCAGAACCCTTCTCCACACAGTGCCCAGGCAGCCCTGTCTCTGGATCAGAATTGGCAGTCATCAGGCCACTGTGGATAGCATGGTTTTAAAGCTGTGTACCTGGGAAGGATTGGGATGCATGGAAAGGATGAGGACTGCGTGAGAAGTAAACCATTTAGTCGGCTTAAAGATATGTGAATACACAGAATGACCTTTGACTAAATTGTGTTAGATATGAACCCAGATATCTACAGCCATGTGCTTTTCCTGTCATTTTCCTGTTCTAGGATGTTGAAGTCAAATGGATTGAATACCAGAATATGGTGAACTACCTCATCCAGTGGATTCGACACCATGTGACCACAATGTCTGAGAGAGCATTTCCCAATAATCCCGTAGAACTGAAGGTCAGTGGCACTACAGGGGTTAAACAGGATTGACCTGATATTTAACTTGTAAATAATGCTGGAATAATTCTGTTATTTTAAATGTTATTTATTGATTGATTTTAAAGAGAGAGGCAGAGAAAGAGAAACATTGATTTTTTTTTATTCCACTTATTTATGCATTCATTGGCTGATTCTTCTACTATGTGCCCTAACTAGAGATTGAACCTGCAACCTTAGCATATTGGGATGGCTCTCTAACCAACTGAGCTACCTGACCAAGGCAATTCTGTTATTTAGAAGTTCAAGAAAAATTGCCCTTGATGAGCCATTAATAAATAGGCATTTAAAAAATGTACTCATCTCCCCATTATACAGAGAAAATAGAGGTAAACATTATTAATTAAAATGTAATAGTAACAATATCTTAAATAAACTTATAGCCCCTTAGTTTTGAGTTGAGGGTTAAAGGTTTGAGTCTCTGGAGGTGATCTTGCCAAATGGATTTTGGTGTGTGGGAAATGTTTGAAGTTCACCAGATGGCTGTGGTTGGAGGGACCCTGGGAAGCTTGCCTAAGGGTGACGGTGGTTAAGACTGTGCCTATAGTGTCGAATCCTATAAAGTCACTTTAGATCCTTTTGTATAGCAAGACGTCCTTACTCTACTTCACTATGAATTTGAAAATACATACGTGACCTCTGGGATAAGTGTATTCATGGTTTAGTAAAACATTTGCTACTACTACCCGGCCAGTGTGGCTCAGTGATTGAGCTTTGACCTATGAACCAGAGGTCATAGTTCGATTCCTGGTCAGGGCACATTCTCTGGATTGTGGGCTTGATCCCCAATGTCGGGTGTGCAGGAGGTAGCCGATCAATGATTCTCTCTATCAATGATGTTTCTATCTCTCCCTCTCCCTTCCCGTCTGAAATCAATAAAAATATATTTTAAAAAAATTTGCTACTACCTAAAAACAGGTCTAACTCCTTGAGGCAAAGATATTATAGAAATATAAAAGTCACTATAGATATATAAACTTAATTGAAGAATGTGTTGTCTCACTTTGTATATGTATTAGGGTCTATAACAAAATAGCCTACTTTCTTTCAAAAAACATACAATATGAATATTAAAGTCTAGTTCCTTGAATTATAAGCTTTGTTTAAATGATCACACTGGAATCACAAAGACTGCAGTGACCGAGGGCGGACCCTGTCCAAGTTATTCACTGTGTTCAAGCATCTGTGCAGACCATCTGTGAAGCAGCTCTCCGTTCACAGTGCCAGGGGAGTTTGTCCTTGGCACGCAGTCAACTTGGCCCGTGTTGATAGGATGGTTTTTAACTGCTCTGAAGTTGTTTGTGTGAAGTCTCCCTATGTGGATGTAAACATTTCCAGGACAAGAAGGATCCCCCCTCTATCACCACATCTACCGCGAGCAGCGTTTAGCCTAGAATGGAACTCTGTGCTTATTTTCTGATGGAAGTCTTGAAACATTGCGTTTTACGACCAAAACAATTTTCAGATTTCAAGTTCAAATTGTTTCCAAGTGGATTCTTGTTCTCAGACACTTGGGTAAATTTGTACTGGCTTTTGATTAATGCAGATTCTTAAAGTTTTGGAAAAAGTTCGAGTGAATGAATACCCAGGTTACTTGCTGGTGCCTGGGATAAGATATAATCTACACTAATAAAAGAGAAACATGCAAATTGGTGTCACTCTGCTATGCCTGCCAGCCAATCAGGATGAGTATGCAAATTAACCCAACAAAGATGACGGTTAGTTTGCATATGCAGGCACAGAGCAAAGACTGAAGACAACTGAAGACTAAAGAGGCTTGGCTTCTCTGCTGCGGTCGGATCGAAGGCCCAGGTCCCGGGTGCTGGGGGAAAACTGGTGCTGGCAGCCAGGGAAGGAAGGCCTATTGCACAAATCTCTTCGTGCAACGGGCCTCTAGTATAAAAAATAAAAAATATATGGAGAAAATGCTAGTAATGTTATTAGCTAGCAGAACATTGAAAGGAGTCCTTCAGAAATCTGTCTAAAGATTAAAAGGGACTTTTTAAAAAACAACAACAACAGCATGAATCAGGATGAAATAATTAGTATACACTTATTAAATGTGGAGATGCTTTATCTACATCATTTTTATGACGGTCCTTTTTAGTAAATATAATAAGAGATCCCAAATTAGTATCTGCAAACTAGATAATAATTTAATTACATGGTTGAAATGTCTATAATAAAGCAGTAACCATTAACATCTATCTCTGTTGACTAAGAGATCTGTTTAACTTAGCCAGTGGGACATTGACCTCAAGCTTTAACTCCATCTATCTGATAAGAATTCTGTTTTCCATGGAATAGACAAGAACAGGTTTTTTTCCCCCTTTATGGAAATTGTATCAGATTATTTTTCCAAAAGCTAATTTGCCACAGTTGGAAAGTATGTTTTTCTTTTTTTTTAAAAAAAATCCTCACTTGAGGATTTTTTTAGAGAGAGTGGAAGAGAGACAGACAGAGAGAGATATCGATGTGAGAGAAACACATTGATTGGTTGCCTCCTGCATGAGCCCTGACCAGGGCCTGAGCCAGGGAGGAGCCTGGGACCAAGGGATGTGCCCTTGACCGGAATTGAACTCAGGACCCTTTGATCCACAGGCTGACGATCTACCCACTGAGCCAGACCAGATAGGGTAGAAAGTGTGTCTTTTACTATGTGTTTTCTTGTTTGTTTGATGAGACTGTTTAATAGAGCCGTAGTAAGTTCTACCACGGTTCATTATCTAGACACTGGTGTGGCACCTGCCGAATCATGGCACACATCAGTAGCTACACCCTCATCAAGATATACATAACCCAGTCGCTGGCAGTTGGTATAGGCCTTGAGTATCAATTTTATAAAAGAATTCCACTGAATGCATAGGACACAGTCGGTAGCCTTTGAAGTGGTAACATTATGCCATAATGAAAACAGGTCTTTGAATGTTGAGCCTTCATTTCTTTTCCCTTTCATTTTAGGCACTTTACAATCAGTATTTACAGTTTAAAGAAACAGAAATTCCTCCAAAGGAGACAGAAAAATCAAAAATCAAACGCCTATATAAATTATTAGAGGTAAGCAGACATTTCCTTTTTTTGTCAAGTGTAATTATTCACTTACTTATTTTTACACATTTGCTTTGAATTAATTTTTTAAAAATTTTCTCCAGATTTGGATAGAATTTGGACGCATCAAACTCCTTCAAGCCTTTTCCGTTTCCCTGGCGGTGTGACCTTGGATAAGTCACTCAATCTTTCTGATGTTTCATTTTCTTATCTAGAAACTCTTCTAAGAGGTTTGAGGGATTAAAGCTGTGAAGTAATGTTCATAAAAGACCCGATAGGCTGGGCTGGTCTGTGAAGTCTCATCTAATTAGGTGGTAACAGGTTTAAAGCCTATCCAAGTAGCCATGAGAATTTCTCAAACTGGCTTTTATTTTTTTTCCCTATTGACCCCGTCCCTGCTGTGTCCACGGGTTATGCTGTGTCCTTCACTGCTGTGTCCACGGGTTATGCATACATACATATAAGTTCTTTGGTTAATCTCATCCCACCCTCCCCCCTTTCCCTCTGAGATTCATCAGTCTGTTCCATGCTTCCATGTCTCTGGATCTGTTTTGTTTGTCTGTTTATTTTGTTCACTAGATTCCACATATGAGTGAGACCTTGTGATACTTGTCTTCCTCTGACTGGCTTTTAAAACACCAGGGCCTGGATCCCGAAGCTTACAGGCCCATAAAGAACTTATTTTGCTTCTTACAGTTTTGGCTGTGACCCTCTTTCTGTGGGGCCATGGAAACCAGAATATGGACTGCCTCCATTTACAGGGCAGTGAGGTGGCTTCCAGAAAATACTCAGTAAATATCAGGTTAAGTTCTCCCTACAAGTGCATTTATTCCATGAAATTGTCACTGACTTCATCATTCTGTCTCTACTCCTCTACTCAGTGGCCCTGGCAGGTGCTTTGGGAGACATGGGTTGGATGCATTTGTCTTCGTTCTAGTCCTTACCTCCCAGCCGGACTAGTGGGAATTGGGATCTCTGTTCCTCATTAGCTGTGAGCTCCATGGGCCTGGGCTTCCACTCTCCGCCTTTCTCACACCACACCCTCCTCGCTCTCTTCCCGCAGCCACACTGGCTCTCTCAGGAGAGCCACCCTCCTCCATAACCAG